TACACCCTCTGAGAGTATGGATTGATTGTAGTCACTGGTTTGCTTTGTGGTTTGATATGCACGTACTGCAAGTAATCAGAAAAACAAACAAAACAAAGCTACGCTTGCAACAGAAAACACAGCCGCTGTGCAGTCGTCCCAGTCTGAACACTGTCAGTGCCATCAGGCAGCGCACGTGGACGGGGTGTCAAAGATTTCCCCGATGATAGAAATGCCTCCATATACATAATCTTTGTCTGTGATTGCCTGTGGTTTGTTGTTCATGTTTTACTTTGAGAAAAAATAAAACAGAAGCACTTGGCTTCAAAATCCTGCATGTCTGAGCCAATACATTTTATTGCAGCGCATAAACATTTAAGCTCGCTGTACACAGTAGTTAAGTACCTTGATGTTTACTTATCTCAAACAAAGTGTCTCTAAAGTAGGTCTCTGTAAAAAGGAGAACAAATGCAATGCCACGGCATATTAGTTCTCACTATCCTGCTTTAAACTCTTAACTTTTTCTCCCCGCTTCAGTTTTTAAAGCGTTTCCAGAAACTCTCTTATCCTTTCTTCCCATCCCAGGTCAGATGATGATGTCTGGAGCTCAGAGAGGAGCCGTCCCGCAGCCCGGGATGCCACAGGTCTCGAGCATCATGGAGGATGAAGTCCTCATGGATCTTATCTGATGGAACTGGGCTTTCGATTTGAATCTGGGCAGCCATTTTCCAGTTTCGACACATATGTCTGCTCTGTCGCTTTAATCCTACAAATGTTCAACGTAATTAGGAAACAAGTCATAAGCAGTTTTTGGTTTGTTTTTTTTTTCTTTCATTTTTTTTAAATTTTTTTACAGGACTGAGTCGCTGAAGTTAATTAGGGGCAGACAATGTGAGCATTAGTTTTTCATGTAAATGTTCAAACCATCAGCACGCTAATCCCCCATACTACACACAGGATAGAACAAGCTATCATGCTTCTAGAAATTATACTAAGTTTCATCATTGAAATGGAAACCTGTGTTATTCTTTTTTTTATTAAGATTTTTTTAATTATTGATCATGTTGTTTTATGGAGATGAAATAAAGGTAAACATCGTATAAGACCAAGTTGTTTGTGATTACAAAGAGGTTTTGTTGTTGATGAGTCCGCACTCCTACCGCCACCCCCGTGTGAACGCCGTTTGGACTCTTAAGGTGGGAGAGAGTGAGACTGAAATAGACACAGTAATAGATAGTTCGGTGTCTTTTTCTGCCAAATAGTGTCACAGTGTTAATTTTAACTACTCCAATATGTTGTGGAACCATAGAGAGTCTCCTCGTGCCAAGTAGTCCTACCAGATGGCATCAGTTGGCCATGTTTCCCTTGGCATAACGTACAAACAGGCTGGCCGCATGCGCACATGGCACGGACTCCACATATATGCCCGCAGTCTGCTTTCGCATCAGTTCTATTGCGTGTGAGTTAAGTCCTGTACATCGACAAACACGGGCCGGTTGTGCACCTCGTGTTGGCACGGGCGCTGAGAGAAAAGGGAGAATGACGCACCTGAACTTTTCAGTCTCTCGCATATGTTCAATGACACATGTCAGTTTATGCAGTCCCCCCACCCCCCAAAGAACGTGGACACTGTGTGTACACACTAACCAACAGGAAATGATGTCAGTCCCTGTCACCTGGGAGACTGAGACGGTTGCTAAGATACCGTGACAGTGGGTTCTTGTTTCTGAGCTTTTTCCTCAGCCCCGCTTTCACATGGACTCACACAGATAGACACTAGTCCCTCAGTGGCTGGTGTTCATCCCTCCCATCCCTTAATCACTGGCCGGCCCTCGGAGCCCGGCTTAGCTTCACTTCATCTTCCTCTCTC